CCGATGGCTTAAGAGCACACTGGAGAAGGCCACCGCCATCTCTAGATCAGCAGTCCTGGTGGTTTGCTGTCAAGGCTGGGAAGAATGAATTTTGCTTACTCGTGTAAAATTTCCTCCACACAAGCCCTATAATTGTCGCGAAGTACGAGCTTATATGATGCACAGCTATGTCATAAGCACATTAGACAGGTAATACCATCTACTCGGTTTTCACTTGTGACTGCATTGTGTGAAGTCTAAGACTTCTACATTTGCTCAACTAACCAGTTTTACAAGCCATCTACATACAGAATCCTTTCACCATTGTCCTCGCACTTCACTAAAGGTGGTGACAATATAGGGCTTGTGTGAAGGAAATTTTACATTGAGTAAGCGATGTCATTTCGAGGTATGTAGCCATTGTGTTTATTGTTGTTTACAGACCTGTAATGTTTACATTTTGATGCTAATGATGGGTTGCATGTGTGTACAAAGGTTTATTATTCTGGGTATTTGCTGTACCTAGTTGGCACACTTTGTTGGTCTATATCATAATGTATGGCCTGGGGCTATGTTTTCATGCCGGGTCACAATTCTAATCTTTGTGCAAAGTTTGATGTCCATATCTTAAGGGTTTTTGAGATACGGTTGTCTTAACTGAACAACATCAAGAAGAATATTTGAAAACTAACTTTTTTGAATAAATCAAGTACCGATTATGTGGTCTAAGCTATTTCTTGGATACATGCTCTTTGTGATGTTACAGATCAGTCTGATGTGTCAACAGTTGGATCTGATTGAAACTGAAAGTTGAACATGAAAATCTCAAATGTGTATGGGCATAATGCAGGACAACCTGTGTCATCCCTATATACTAAGTACTACGTTAATTAGTGATAAGTGTACAAAGTTTAAGTAAGTTATAGGTTGTTTACAAGCTTGTCATTTCTGTTTCGATGAACTCTCATCATGGTACATTAGTGTACCAAGTTTCATTGTTTGAGGTCATCCAGTACTTAGTGATATGCAGGGCCAAGACCCTAATGGGGCATAAGAAGTGAGGTTTAAAAAAAGGCTGATGAGCCAGAGATGTGGAGCCTATTTATACAAATGGAAGCCCGCCTTTTTTTCATGCTGAAAAAACCGGCAGAGACCGGCAGGGTGCGTGACCTAGGCACGTACACAATTAGCACCCTTCATTAACACAAAGTTTATGGGATGGATAACCCTGATCATTAAGAAATTACGCTGTCTGAGTTAGAAATCTAGGCCGGACACATTGATATGCTAGATGTCACCTTCTTCATATTATCATTATCCAGAATAGCTGACAACCACTGCGTGGTCTGAGCCTTCCTGGTTGGTACACCGGCATTGATTGCATTCCATTTGTGAAAAAAGCTGCCGCTCAGAAACCTCAGGAGTTACAAACGGTAGTTTTGTCGCTGGTTTGGTGTTTTCTTTTCTTGGTGAGTTTTTTCTCTAGGCTCTAGCCAATTCTTGCTTGCGCAAATGCTGAGACTTAGCTGCTGCGCGATAGCACACGCGATTCATACCGTTTTGAAACAGTGTCACATCTGTCAGAGTAGTCTTGTGTATGCAGCAGGACTGGCTTTGTGAGACTACAGTCTGAGTTTTCTGGGATACAGATAGGTTAATAATAACCCATGAGTTTAGAAGCCATATGGGTCTATACCCTTGGTGCTTATCTGTACCACCCTTGGGTATATTCCCCGTATACATTCTAACCCCATGGGTTAACCTACGTATACTTAATCAAACCCTCGGTGCACAAGTGCAGTGAGGGTTATTGTACTCTGTTTGTAAGTGTGTGTGTGTGTGTCCGTCTTTCCATTTGTCAGATTCCATGTTCAAAGCGCTTCCCAATGAATGACGCCAACTGGTTCAGCCCTACACTGGCCCTATTTGCATTTTCATTGTAAGTTATAGCACAATGTGGAGGCATCAGTAACATTTTGATGTCAAGTGTTGAGTCTTATGATGCTACCTTAGAGTGCCCTTGATGCTACCCTCGAGAGCTAGCGAGAGACCACGTGTATATTGACAGCGTAAACCAGCCCATTAATTAGCAGTGTGTGTATTTAACATGCATGCACGTTTCTAATGGGACGAGAATTTGCTCTTAAGTGCTTTACATATTTTTGAGTGAGATCTCACCATTGTATGTGGCAATTGTTCCACTTGAAATCTATAAATGTAATGTACCCCTGTCCAGAGTGGGTCGAAAATACATAACCAAACATCTGCATAAAGTAAGCATGGTTTAATTAAGTGTAATTGTGAGCAGATGTAGTAGAAATCACTAAGTACGGAGCCAGGCTCTAGTGAGTTCTGAAATCTGATTGGTCAATCAGAGGAATACTATTTCACTTAGTATTCCGCTGACTGATCAGCGGACTTCTACATATAGAAATTCTCCCTGAGGCGCATTCCATCGTTATCATGCGCAGAAACGTGGCTCACAACACAGAAAATTCAAGAAGACGCTAATCAGCTCTGCATAGAAAGTGTAGCTAGCTCGAGACGCAGCACCCCTAACTGCAGGCAAGCAACAGAGTGAAAGAGAGACGCTTGTAGGCTCTGCCGGCTAGCTGTTACGCAAAAGTAGGCGGGGTCGCTGCATGCTTTTCGCACAGCCAGTGTGCGCATGCGCTGGAGCTGTAGCCAGGTCTCAGTAGTCATGCGCCGCTACCTGCTAGAAGACCGAGTACCTGGACCGCTCCAGAAGCCCCGTCTTCCGTCCGCACGCTTGGCGTCTTTCGAATTTAAGGCGTGGTTGCCATGGCTCTAAATCAGTTAGGCGCCAATTCTCGAAAACCACGCGATTTAGAAAGCCTCGGGCCCTCTAGTAGCGTCCTCGCTGGCGCTCGGACAGCTACAGCCCGAGAGCCCGCGGCTTTCTAAATCCGTGTAGTTTCCTCGAATCGGCGCCTAACTTATATTTAGTATATTATAGGGATGACACAGGTTGTCCTGCATCATGCCCATACATTTGAGATTTTCATGTTTCGCTTTCAGTTTCAATCAGATCCAACTTTTGACACATCAGACTAATCTGTATCTTCACAAAGAGCATGTATCCAAGAAATAGCTTAAATCGCATAATCGGTACTTGATTTATTCAAAAAGTCACTTTTCCGTTTTCTTTCTTCTTCTTGTCAACAAGCGTATCTCAAAAACCAGGTAAGATATGGGGATCAAACTATGTAAACAACAACAAATAGCCCCAGGCAATACATTATTATAGAGACAAATAGAGTGTGCTAACTGGGTAAAGCTAATACCCAGAGTGATAAAACTTTGTACACACATGCAACCCATCTTTAATATCAAAATGTAAACATTACACGTTTGTAAACAACAACAAACAGCCTCAGGCAATAAAAACTTGTAAAATGTGTTTGTGCCTATAACTTGCTTATGGTGGGTCTTCTAACAAAGAAACTTGGTACACTGATGTACCATGGTTAGAGTTCATCGAAACAGAAACTACAAGTTTGTAAACAGCAACAAACAGCCTCAGGCAATGAATACTTGTAACTGATGTTTGTTGTGCCTATAACTTGCTTATGGTGGGACCTCTAACAATGAAAATTGATACACTGATGTTCCATGATAAGAGTTCATCGAAACACAGATTACAAGTTTGTAAACAACAACAAACAGCCTCAGGCAATAAAATGATTTTTGTGCCTATAACTTGCCTATTGTGGGTCCTCTAACAACGAAACTTGGTACACTGATTTACAACGACGAGAGTTCATCGAAATATAAATTACAAGTTTGTAAACAACAACAAAACAGCCTCAGGCACTAAATACTTGTAAATAATGTTTGTGCCTGTAACTTGCTTATTGTGGGTCCTCTAACAATGAAACTTGGTACACTGATTTACTATGATAAGAGTTCATTGTAAAATGAATTACAAGTTTGTAAACAACAACAAACAGCCTCAGGCAATAAAACTTGTACATAGTGTTTGTGCCTCTAACTTGCTTATGGTTGGTCCACTAACAACGAAACTTGGTACACTTATTTACAACGATGAGAGTTCATCGACACATAAATTACAAGTTTGTAAACAACAACAAACAGCCTCAGGCAATTAAGTGTTTATTTTCCTATAACTTTGTACACTTATCTACTTTGGAAGTAAAATAAAAATGTAGATGACGACTAACAGACCGAGGCAATAAATACATGTTACTTTTTATATGGACATTATGCCCCAATGCATGTGCATGCTGTAAAAAGGAAAGGAGACAAGTAATTCTGCGATTTAAAAGTGTGGAATATAGGGATGCCATAAAAAGCAAAGAGACAAGACAGGGATGACCTAGTGTATGTGAACAATGGACGATGGTTACATCTTCAAACTGACATTGCTTGCTCGTGTAAATCTTCCTCCACACAAGCCCTATATTGTCGCAAAGCATAGAATGACTCATCTCTTAAGCACGTGATGCACAGGTGTTGGCCTCTCTGACAGCTCCTCAGTTTTTGGTTGTGACTGCATTGTGTGCAGTCTAAGACTTCCATGTTCGCTCAACTAACGATGAGTTTTACAATGCTGTGTTCATGGCCCGCCAGAGAATCCCTTTACAGACTGGTCTTAATAATTATTATTCCTGAGAGAGGGGACTCGACTAAACAGTGCCGGCTAAATGCACTGTCATTAAAATCTCTTGCTAGCACGAGTGATCTCTATTGTATGATGTGCAGCTATGACTCGTTTCTTATGCATGAGTGGATCGATGTGTCTCAGCCTCACCATTGTCCTCACACTAAACAAGTTCATGTTGTGAGAAAAGTGGCGACAATATAGGGCTTGTGTGGAGGAAGATTTACACGAGCAAGCAATGTCAGTTTGAAAATGTAACCATCATCCCACTACTAATGCATCACATACACTAGGTCATCCCTGTCTTGTCTCCTTGCTTTTATGGCATCCCTATATTCCACACTTTTTTAATTTGCAGAATTTTTTATTTATATTGTAGCACCTGAGGACGTTGGTTGGACACACAGGAGGGGTCTGGTGTTCTGAGTTTGATGGCATTACTGTTGTCAGTGGCTCAACAGACAGAACTCTTAGGGTAAGGCACCATCTAAGAGGTCCACATTCCTTGCGTAATTCCGTGTAATAAGCACTGTTGCGAGTATGGTATGGGTATTATTGAACGACGATGTGGTCAAGAAGCATGATAAGGCACAGCCGAGTGCCTTATCAGGCTTCGAGACCACATCCGAGTTCCATAATTAACCCTCGGCGCGCATGTGCAGCGAGAGTTACGGTACTTGGTTCGTGAGTGTGTGAGTGAGTGTGTCTGTCCGTTCGTCTGTTACCACGTTTTCTGCGACTATGCGCAACGAAATAGCGACACGAACAGATTCATCGCTACACTGGCCTCATTTAAAAAAAGATGATTTGGATATAACTTATGTGTTCAAAAGTTATGGCGTGAAAGGCAAGTGAACAAACCAAAATGCAAATTAGCATAGGCTTACCTCGACCGCGTCCGCTCGCTCTGTGTATCTTGAAGGCACAAGAAGTCACAACATATATCGACTCCCGTATATACTATCTACTACTGTAGCTAGCCCGTGGCAGACTCTCTGCGAGCTACTAGCGGGATACCACGAGTAAGGGCAAAACCCCGCCCATCAATTAGTGGTACCGTGCATGCACAGTTCGCCGGGGGGTTGCACTTTAGTGCTTTTCATTTCTGAGGGTAAACAGTGCTTTAATATGCCCCAGAAGAGGTGAAACATGATCACCTGAATCCACGTGAACCCCCAGTAATGTCTTTGGAACACAGGTGTTGAATGTTGACCTCTGCAGTTCTTGGCCCAGGTTTGTAGCACTAAAGTTGGAAGATGCTCTTGAAATGTCGCACAGTTGTAAAAAGGATCGAAAAAAGGTAGTGCATAGTCAGTTACGTGAATCTCTTCGCTGTAACTTGCTAGGAAGGTGGGTGGGGTGAGGTTCTGCCACTTTTCAGTGCTACATGTAAAACATCTCCGATCTTGACTTGGCACAAACCATTTCGATGGCTTATTAAAGGTCAGCTAAAGTTGTTACCGCCTCCATAATACCTAAAGGTGAGCCAGATGTTTTTGCAATAGTCCAACAATACACTTGACACAAAAGTGCAGTGTGGTAATGGAAAACTCAGCACTTGTGCAATTTTTTGGAAAGTGGCCAAGTTTGCGACAACTGAAACATTGCTCAGGGTACTCGCCAGATTTTTTAGAGTGGCGCATTTCATGCATGGTCACCGCATAAAAGGTTATGACTGTGAGCAACATACATAATGAACCAATGAGATGACAAAAAACATGATATTACAGGTTCCTGCAACAGTCAAAGTACTCTAATCTTCTGTTTACTTCGTACTTCCAGCTATCAAGGCTCTTCACGAAATCGAAATGTTCTATTTCTGCTCCTTCAATCAATATTCTGAGACAGTGATTCAAAGTTTTGTTGCTCATTTGATTACAAAGCTTCGATTTGACACGAACCGTGGCACGAACGTCCACTGTACTTACTGGGATAACCAGGCAGATTTGCGCAAGTTTCAATAACTGGGGATATGCTGACCCCAGTGAAGAGCAGTTCTGCATCATATACACTCTTTAACTCTGCCAGTCTAGGCTTGACGATCCAGGGAAATGAAAAGGATCTGCCAGAACATTAAAACTCTCTCCATCCCATACCTGGTACGAACACTCAGCTATGTCATATGTAGGTGGTAACTTGCTGAGATAAAAAATAGAGAATGCATGCGTCCAGAAGCTCAACATCTGGAAAAGGCTGTTTCAGGTTGTCACAAAGGTTCTGGATGAACGGTTTTTGGATCTGATTCAGAAAGGAATCCAATTGAGACTGTGAAGGGGTTGTTACATATGGACTAAGCTGTTCATGAAAAAACATGTTTATAGCATACTAGCTAAAAGAGAGGAAAAGAAAAACCTCCCCCACCCAAGCACACAAAACACAGACAATAACATACCCAAGCATACAAAAACACAGACAATAACATATAAACATAACGAAAGAGGCAGGACCCTGGGTGCCCAGCCTTGAGAACCGGGGCGGTAGGTTAAAGAGTCTTTTATGGGCCCAACTCTCCCTACACACCCAGTGTCCCAACCTCCCTTACACGAAAATAAATAGATAGAAATCATGTACAAAAAACGACAGCTACAGGATAAAAACAACAGCCGGTAGAAAAATAGAAAGCCTCAAAGGACGAATAAACTCATAGAAAAATATTAAAACTCTGAAACTCACGCAGCACGACGACACGACGGAGAAAAAAAACGTGCGATTACTCTAAATAACGCACAGCATATACACGTGTAGAAAAAATTGACCTTCTAAAATAAGTTAAAATTGTTCTGTCCATTACTTTAAATAATGCACATCATATACACGTGTAAGAAAAATATAAATAATAGTAGAAATGGTAGAAATAGAAATGTTAAAAACAGATTATCCAAAATAAATATGTGACTATAAATATACATTCTATCTATGCGAGACATGGCGACTGAGGAACCTATCAATTGCTGGCAGACATATACCATCCTCCACATGTTTGCGTATGCCGCAGCTATATTTAATCATAATTTGTGCGTGCTTTTTAGCAAACTTATAAAAGGACCCGCACAAATCAGAGTATCTGTATCCTTAATGAATCAGTCGCTCCGTAAGTTTGAAATGTCTCATCATCTACGTGCTCTCCTACTTTAGCAAAATGACCATCAGGGTCACATGCCTGCGTGAGGGGTTGTATAAAGTGGTATGTACCAATCTTGATTTAATTAGAAGTGTTGCTGCACCAGCCCTGCGGCCGACTATAACTGACGCTACATCCGAGACAAAGCCCATAACCCTTTCAATTGGAATGTTTAGCCTGGCCAAAAATTCCAATATAGCTTTGGTAATAGTCCCAGCTTTACTGAAGAAAAACACTCTGAACGCACTTCTCAAGGGCAGCAGTGGGAATTGCATACCCAGCATAAATAGTCAGTTCCTTGGATACGGAGATATCTGTTGTCTCATCGGCCATAGTATCAATGTATGGACTTGTTTGTAGCTGCTCAATAATAATGGTTCTTATTTTAGCATCTAACTAAACAAGAAACTCCTGAATTATTCTCTCGCTTTGATAGTGAGCATTACATGCAATGTGTAGGCTTGAAAGATAATCACAGCCCTGAAGCATGCAAAAATATAGTAGTGGGCCATACAAAGATGTATGCGGGAGAGCATGCTTCACAAGAAAGTAGGGAGTACGCATTGCACCCACAATAGCTTCTCGGTTTAGCCTGATCTTCTCCTGAGCACCTGAGTTTAATATAAATGCAATACCACCACCACCACCACATGACTACTGTAGCGCAAGTTCCTTTGAGATTGAAGTCTTATGGTGAGTGACAGCATCAACTCTCAGGCAGGTACAAGGTTCCATGCTCCACTTGCTACCATTCCGAGCAATAGTTTTGTGCTTTTTGCAAGGATCACAAAGCATTCCAACTACAGCACAGCTTGAGCCCCTAACAGATGTGAGCCAGTCATATTCACACTGCCACTCAGTCGCAGTGGTGAATACGTACTCGCTGGAGGTTGATGGTCACGATGCAGCTTCATCTATATCACTTCCCTCGCTCTCTGACCCATGTTCCTGAGTCACCTCATTGTCACAATCGTGCTCCTCACCTCCCTGTCAGCTTGTTCCTCGGAACAGCCGTATCACATAGAGTACTGCATCAATCACCGGACACCACTCTTTATCGGACACCTTCGAATTATCGGACCGCAATGTCTTGTATACCTACAACTCACTGCAAGGGCAAGGCGAGTTACATGCCGTAAGTTCGTCCCTTCGGGAACTAGTATCCGCGTTATTTTACCTCAAATGCGCATGCGCAATCGTTCAAAGCACGTGGGCGGAGTCATTGTGCATAATTGCTGCGGTTTGGCCACAGCTGTACGACACAGAACTGGCGTGTTCAGCTGTAGTATTATAGTGTGGAGGTTTTCTCGGTACATAACGTTGTCTCCGCTGTCTCCGTTGTCTCCATTGTCTCTTTAGCTTTAAAATCAAGCATAGGGGCCATATTCCGACTGACGGCGGTTCGGACGGTGAGCGATATTTGTGCCGCCTTAACACTACTATCTCTCTGCCGAAGCTGGTACTGTGCATGCCTGTTGAGTGACACCCTCTGAGGTACTGAACGTAGCGAGGATAGCTAACTCTGTCGGCTGTGTCCGGGTGATGGTGTCCGATAATTGATGAGCTACTCTATATAGCACACGTGTAATAGTGCGTTATGAGCATGCGCACGGCTGGCCCTGCCCCTACCTCGTTTTTGAGCGTTCAAGCGCGGCATAGCTAGCTCGGTCAATACGCAGTACATAAGCCTTGGTGAAGATGGGAGGAGTTTGAGGGAGGTTGGTCCAATATGTTGTGAAGTTTGGACTTCCTGTGGGGTTCTTGTAGAAGAACGGCTGAAGTTTTGCGTGGGGGTGTTCGACAGCGGTGTTGGGATTTCTTTCTCTGCGGACACTCTTGTTGAGTTGTGTGAGGTCCACACTTAGATGCGCTTTTCAGGACCCTTGGTAGCACTACCATCAGGGGAGTCGGCTCAAGGAACCTAGAAATGACTCTGTGAGTTTCATAAGGGCTCATGAGGGGGATAGCGACATGGCAAGGGGACAGAGGAAACGTCTGGCTCTGCCCCTTGTTCCAGTTGGATAGTGCAGAGGTAACTCCAGAGATTTAGATGGTCCAAAGCGAGGGAAGTGATATAGATGAAGCTGCATTGTGACCATCAGCCTCCAGCGAGCCCCTCTATCTCTTCATTTGTCCCCCTGAATATGCTTTCCAGGGGACAATTTTACCCCCAAATAGTAGGTGGCTTGTTATTTGCCAGCCCTAGATAGTGTCGTAGTGAACTCAAACCTTGTTGTGGTTACACAGTTATGCACAGTAAGTACAGTGGACCACGTGTTCGTCGCCTAATAAATGTGTGTCTGTGCTGTCCTTCATTATGGTCGTGACTTGCGACATTTGGTGACCATGGCGTG